GTTTGATAAATGTAGTACCAAATTCGAATGTTCCATCATAGGATATATCCTAAATATACTAAATATCAAGTGTCCCAAGGTTCTAAATGTTCCAAATGTGTCAAACGTTTTAAATGATACAAATATCCTAAATATAACAAATGTTTTAATAGTCCCAAATAATATAAATTCTTAAATATCCCAAATGTCACAAATATCCTTAATATTACCAATATCCCAATAACTTCAGCTTCTAAATATACTAAATGTCACAATATCTTAAATGCCAGATATAACATAAATAAGACAAATATCCTAAATATCCCAAACATATTAATAAATATCTTTAACAAATTAAAAGATCTAATTATAACAAATATCCTAAATATTCTCAATATTCCAAATATATTACGTGTTGTATGTTACATTACACAAATATCCTGAAATCCCCAAACATCCTAAGTGTCCCAAATATTCTAGAACGTTCAAATTAACCTAAATGTTCCAAATATACTAAATATCTTAAGTATCCTAAATATTTCTTATATCCTATGGGTCCTGACTATCCTAAATTTTCAAAAAACCCTAAATGTCCGAAATATATTAATTGTTTCAAATCTCCCAAATAAACAAAGTTTACAAATGGTCCTAAATGTTCCAAATAATCCAAATAACCGAACTCTTAAATACCCCAAATGTACTAAATATTCCAAATATCCTAAATATAATAAATATACCAAATATCGTAAATATATTAAAGGTCCCAAATACATCAAATGTCCCAAAAATCATAAATGTCCCAAAATAAATACCAAATTGTTTGAAATTTCCCTAATATCCCAAATCATCCAAATATCCGAACTCCTAAATTTGTAGTTTATCTCAAATGTAAATATTTTAAATATCCTAAAATGTCCCAAATATTACAATCGTCCCTAATATCACAAATATCCCAAATGTTCCAAATATCCTAAAATGTCCCAAATATTCCAAAATGTCCCTTATATTAAATATCCCAAATATCCCACAATGTCCCAAATATCCAAAAATGCCCGAAATATCCCAAAATGTCGCAAATATCCTAAAATGTCGCAAATATTCCAAAATGTCCTAAATATCCCCAACTGTTCCAAATATTCCAAAATGTCCCAAATATTCAAAAATATCCCGAATATCCCACAATGTCCCAAATATTCCAAAATGCCCAAAATATCCAAAAATGACGCAAATATTCCAAAATGTCCCAACTATCCCAAAATGTCCGAAATATCTCAAAATGTCCCAAATATCTCAAAATGTCCCAAATGTCCCTAAATGTCCCTAAATGTCCCAAAATGTCTCAAAATATCCCAAATATCCCAAATATCCCAAAATGTCCTAAATATTCCAAATGTCATAAATGTCCCAAATATCCCAAAAATGTTCCAAATATCCCAAAATGTCCCAAATATCCCCCAAAATGTCCCAAATTATCCCAAAAAATCAATATTAAATGTCCGAAATACATCAAATACATCTAAGTGTCCAAACTATCCCAAATATCGAGCTGTTACATGAACATGGCCAAATTGGACACATTTTACTGATTCCTAGTTAACAATTTGTTTACCTTCATGGACATTTTATTGTTTCTTTTATCAAACTAATTGGGAAAGCTTTAATTTTTGTTACATGAAAAAAAAATTAAGTTTGTATTGGTTTAACTATATTTGGAAGTGGGAACAATTGTTATATATATATACATATTGAGAATATATTACTGTATAAAATATCGCTTCGTTTTGAAATATGTCCTGTTTTTGTGATAATTTAAAAAAGATTTTAGTTCCCATTTCAATGTAACTTGTTAAGCTATATTAGTAAATAAATAAATAAAAAAAAGTATATTACTGTTCTATTAATAAACGAGAATTTGTTTATATATCGTGCGTTTTATTATTTCATGACCCTATTACCAAAATGCATCGCTGTTGGACGAGGCGACATCTTCTGAGTAGCGACAAGATAAGTGAGAATAGAGCTGGACAGATAGATTAGAGTTGGGAGATATTCGAGTTAAAAAATACGTCGATTTTGCGTTACCATGAATGAGAATGACTATTTAATTAAGGAACTTAATTTCCCGCTCTTTTTTAAATGCCTCCTCGTTTTTATGTTATCCTGATACCAAAATTGTATCAACGAAATTGCAAGTTTTATAATTTAGATCTCTGTATCAGAATAACAGGAATGCCAGGAGGTTTGGTAGGTATTTTAAAAAAGGCGGGAAAATTAATAAATCGTCGCATTCAACGCCAATTTTAATATTTTATCCACAAAGTTACGATTTAAAATACCTCCTTGCTCTTCTGTGATCCTAATACCAACATTTTATGATCAAAATTGTGATTTTGGTACTCGGATTTTTGTACTAAAATAACAGAAGAGCGAGGAGGTATAGAATTTGATTTTTCGTTACCCTAAATACTATAACACTATTAAGAAGGTAAATGTTCCCTCTAAAATATCTCCTCGCTCTTCTGTAATCCTGATACCAACGTTTTATGCACGAAATTGCAATTTTGGTACTCGGATCTTTGTATTAGGATAACAGGAGAGCGAGGAGGTTTGGAAAATACCTTGTGGCTTTTCTGCTATCCTGATACCAAAATTTTATAGACAAAATTGGATCTTTTCGAATTCGGAACTTTGTATCAGGATAATAGAAACGCGAGGAGATATCGAAAAATTTTATTTTTGCCACAACTTTTTTAATATTGCTGTTAGAAAAAGACTGAGTGTATTTTTGAGATCTACATGTGATCTTCTATCCGTATGCAAATTTAAATTGTTTTTTATTTTTTCAAAAAAATCGAAAGGGTATAGCCTTCCAAATTTTTCAACAAAAATTTTTTTTCTCTCCGATATTGATGAAAATTGGGGTACACATAAAGGAAAGCACGAGCAATTAAAGGGTGAACTCAGTTGCTCCCTAGCTATAAGGGTTAACTTTTTTTTCTTAATTCCTCACTTAATAATAATCGAATTATTCCATAAATTCACATAAAGGTAGAGCCGGACGGATAGTTTAAAATGCCCTCTGCGGCTTGCCTCTATCTTGAGCCGTTTAGTAGTTATTCACATTTAAAAATAAGTCAAATACCTTGTCGCGTTTCTGCTATCCTGATACCAAAATTTTATAGACAAAATTGGATCTTTTCGAATTTGGAACTTTGTATCAGGATAATAGAAACGCGAGGAGATATCGAAAAATTTTATTTTGCCACAACTTTTTTAATATTGCTGTTAGAAAAAGACTGAGTGTATTTTTGAGATCTACATGTGATCTTCTATCCATATGCAAATTTAAATTGTTTTTTATTTTTTCAAAAAAATCGAAAGGGTATAGCCTTCCAAATTTTTCAACAAAAATTTTTTTTCTCTCCGATATTGATGAAAATTGGGGTACACATAAAGGAAAGCACGAGCAATTAAAGGGTGAACTCAGTTGCTCCCTAGCTATAAGGGTTAACTTTTTTTTCTTAATTCCTTAGTTAATAATAATCGAATTATTCCATAAATTCACATAAAGGTAGAGCCGGACGGATAGTTTAAAATGCCCTCTGCGGCTTGCCTCTATCTTGAGCCGTTTAGTAGTTATTCACGTTTAAAAATAAGTCAAATACCTTGTCGCGTTTCTGCTATCCTGATACCAAAATTTTATAGACAAAATTGGATCTTTTCGAATTCGGAACTTTGTATCAGGATAATAGAAACGCGAGGAGATATCGAAAATTTTTATTTTTGCCACAACTTTTTTAATATTGCTGTTAGAAAAAGACTGAGTGTATTTTTGAGATCTACATGTGATCTTCTATCCGTATGCAAATTTAAATTGTTTTTTATTTTTTCAAAAAAATCGAAAGGGTATAGCCTTCCAAATTTTTCAACAAAATTTTTTTTTCTCTCCGATATTGATGAAAATTGGGGTACACATAAAGGAAAGCACGAGCAATTAAAGGGTGAACTCAGTTGCTTCCTAGCTATAAGGGTTAACTTTTTTTTCTTAATTCCTCACTTAATAATAATCGAATTATTCCATAAATTCACATAAAGGTAGAGCCGGACGGATAGTTTAAAATGCCCTCTGCGGCTTGCCTCTATCTCGAGCCGTTTAGTAGTTATTCACATTTAAAAATAAGTCAAATACCTTGTCGCGTTTCTGCTATCCTGATACCAAAATTTTATTGACGAAATTGGATCTTTTCGAATTCGGAACTTTGTATCAGGATAATAGAAACGCGAGGAGATATCGAAAAATTTTATTTTTGCCACAACTTTTTTAATATTGCTGTTAGAAAAAGACTGAGTGTATTTTTGAGATCTACATGTGACCTTCTATCCGTATGCAAATTTAAATTGTTTTTTATTTTTTCAAAAAAATCGAAAGGGTATAGCCTTCCAAATTTTTCAACAAAAATTTTTTTTCTCTCCGATATTGATGAAAATTGGGGTACGTATAAAAGAAAGCACGAGCAATTAAGGGGTGAACTCAGTTGCTCCCTAGCTATAAGAGTTAACTTTTTTTTCTTAATTCCTCAGTTAATAATGATCGAATTATTCCATAAATTCACATAAAGGTAGAGCCGGACGGATAGTTTAAAATGCCCTCTGCGGCTTGCCTCTATCTTGAGCCGTTTAGTAGTTATTCACATTTAAAAATAAGTCAAATACCTTGTCGCGTTTCTGCTATCCTGATACCAAAATTTTATTGACGAAATTGGATCTTTTCGAATTCGGAACTTTGTATCAGGATAACAGAAGAGCGAGTAGGTATAGAAGGTATTTTGAAATAGATGGGAAAAATTTTAAAACGTCACATTTTACCAAAATTGTAATGGAAAATTTTGTATCAGGATAACAGAAAAGCGAGGAGGTATGAAAAATATTTATTTCTTCTCCGATTTTTATGAAATCTCATACAGAGTTAAAGAAATGGTATCTGCTTCTCTTTATATTTGATACTTTTTTGAGAAATGAGCCTCAACCTTTAAATAATTTCTGTTAGAGGGAAACAGAGTGTATCAGAGTAGTGCAAAGGTGAAGGAACAGAGAGTAAAAAACAACAATATAACAAAATTCGTTTTTAATCACTAGTATTAACAAATTATGCCATATAAATAAAAGTATTTATATCGTCGTCGTCTCGCCTCATGTATTTGTGTTCGATCAGCCATTCTAATTGTTCTTTGATCATTTTTTTAGACGGTAAAAACATATTTTTCAGTATATCGACCAATTCCGATTGCAAACCGGCGTTCGATATTTTCTTGCGCATTTTTAATATCTTTATTATAGCCTCTTGGGTCCTAAGAATCCTTAATTGTACTATAGATTGGTTGTCTTCCATTTGCGACCTTTCCGTGCTCAGCTGCAACCGGCCTATCAGATTCACCTGGAAACCAACGAAAAAAATTATTATTTTCATTTAAAAACAGTGGAAATAATAAATAAATAGGAAATTTTAAAAGTATGAAAATATTGTCCTAAACTTACAACATATCTTAACTTTCCCCATTATAAACCGAACGAACGAACGAACGAACGAACGAACGAACGAACGAACGAACGAACGAACGAACGAACGAACGAACGAACGAACGAACGAACGAACGAACGAACGAACGAACGAACGAACGAACGAACGAACGAACGAACGAACGAACGAACGAACGAACGAACGAACGAACGAACGAACGAACGAACGAACGAACGAACGAACGAAGCAACGAACGAACCAACAAACGAACCAACAAACAAACAAACAAACAAAAAGTATCCTAAATGTCCCAAAAATCCTAATTATCCCAACTATACTAAATGTCTTAAATATAAAAAATGTCCCAAATATAAAAAATGTCACCAATATCATCATAAATATCCCAAATGTCCTATATGCCCTAAATTTTCCAAATGTTCTAAATATCTCAAATATCCTAAATGTCCCAAATATCCTAAACGTCTTAAATATTCCAAATATAAATGTCCAAAATATTCTAACTGTTCCAAACATTCTCAATGTTCCAAATATCATAATTGTCCCAAATATCCTAAATTTTCCAAATGTCATAAATGTCTTAAATGTCCTAAATGTCCCAAACATCCTAATTATCCCAAATATACTAAATGTCTCAATATAAAAAATGTCCCAAATATAAAAAATGTCACCAATATCGTAAATATCCCAAATGTCCTATATGCCCTAAATTTTCCAAATGTCCTAAATATCCCAAATATCCTAAATGTCCCAAATATCCTAAACGTCTTAAATATTCCAAATATAAATGTCCAAAATAATCTAACTGTTCCAAATATCCTAAATGTTCCAAATATCAATTGTCCCAAATGTCCTAAATTTTCCAAATGTCCTAAATGTCCTCAATATTCTTAATGTCCTAAATGTCCTCAATATTCTTAATGTCGCAAATATCCTAAAATATCACAAATATCCTAAATGTCCCAAATATCATAAATGTCCCTAATATAAATGACCCAAACATCGATAATATAAATGTCCCAAATAGTCTAATTGTCCCAAACATTGTCAGGAGCTCCTGATAATTAAAAAAACTGTTAAATAATTTTGACAATTGACAATGATCAACTGTCAGTAAAATACCATTGTCCATTTGGTAATATTCTAAATGCACAAATATATCCTAAATGTCTTATTTGTCCTAAATGTCTTATTTGTCCTAAATGTTCTAAATATTTCAGATGTCCCAAATATCCTAAATGTCCCAAACATACCAAATATAATCAGCTAAATAAATAAGACGTCAAATATAAAAAACCCACGTCCCAAATATCCTAAACATTTCTAAATATCCAAAAACTCCCGATTGTCCCAAATTATCTAACTGTGCAAAATTCCACATATCCCAACTGTCTCAAATATATCAAATTTTTTCCAATTTCTCATAATAAATATCCAAAATCATCTAACTGTTAAAAATTTACGAAACGTCCTAAATGCCCCAATAGTCATTGTCAAAAATAAAAAATGCTGCATATACTAAATCTCAAATATCTTAAATATCCCAAATATAATATATGTCCAAAATAATCTAAATATCCTAGATATCTTAAAATGTTTCAAATAACCTAAATATTCCTAATATTCTAAATATCCCTAGTATCTTAAATGTCCCAAATATTTTCAATGTCACAAATATCCTAAATATTCCAAATATCCTAAATGTCCAAAAGTTCAAAATATCATAAATGTCCCTGACACAAATTACCCAAATATCCTAAATTTCCCAAATATCCCTAAGTGTCTCAAATATCCTAACATCACCAATATTCCAAATGTCCCAAATATTCCTAAATGATCTAGATGTCCCAAATATAAATGTCCCAAATACCCGGTCCAAAATATCCTAAATACCTTATAATGTCCTAAATGTCCCAAATATCATAAATGTCCCTTATATCATAAATGTCCCTTATATCATAAATGTCATAAATGTCATAAATGTCATAAATGTCATAAATGTCATAATTTCATAAATGTCATAAATGTCATAAATGTCACAAATGTCACAAATGTCCTAAATGTCACAAATGTCCTAAATGTCCCAAATATAAATGACCCAAATAGCCTCAATGTTCTAAATATCCCAAATATCCTAAATGTCCCAAACATTGTCAAGAAGTCATGATAAATAAAAAAAAATCTGTCAAATAATTTTGACAATTGACAATTATCATTTGTCAGTAAAATAACATTGTCCATTTGGCGATATTACAAATTTGCAAATTAAATGTCCCAAATATATTTATCCTAAATGTTCTAAATATTCCAACTGTCCCAAATATCATAAATGCACTATATATCCTTAATGTACTTTATGTCCTAAATGTCCCAAACATCCAAAATATAATCAAAGTCTTAAATGACAAAAATCCCCCACGTCCCAAATGTCCTAAATCTCTCAAACGTCCCAAATGGTCGAAACCCTAATCTAAATATCCAAACACTCCTTTCCTTGTCCCAAATTATCTAACTGTGCAAAATCCCACATATCTCAAAAATATCAAATTTTTCCCAATTTCCCAAATATCGTAAATGCCCCAAATATAATAAATATCCAAAATCATCTAACTGTTCCAAATAACCTTAATAACTCTAATATTCTAAATATCCCTAGTACCCTAAATGTCCCTAGTATCCTGAATGTCCCAAATATTCTTAATGTGCAAAATATCCTAAATGTTTAAAAAATCCGAAATATTCCAAATATCATAAATGTTCCTAATTTCTAAAATTCAAATAACACAAATATCCTAAATATTCCCAAATGTCCAAAATATGATAAATAACAAAAATCCTACAGATCCCTAACATCACCAATATCCCAAATGTCCCAAAATTAACCTGTACAAATTTCCTCTAACATCCTTACCTTTCCTCTCTTTTGAAGCTTCCCGTTTTTGATCAACGCGAAATCCTGATTGACCCAAAACGACGTGTGCTCGGTGAAGTCCTTCGGAGCGCTCGCCGCGGGCGAAAACTGTATTAACTGTCGTTTTAACTTCGGAAAAGCGACTAGTGACCAAAGCGTTCGTCTCAGCTCGCCGTCCGGTAGTTCGGTGGCTAACCTGAGGTTTTCGTAACTGATCTTATCGTTTTGCCTTTGGTTCCAAGCGAACAGTACGGCCATTTGGAAAGTGGTCACGTCCAAATCGAATTTGCCGCTCGACGTCGAGAACGTTATGGTGCCGTTGCTCATGTGATGGTACCTGAAGACAAATTAAAAAAAAAACTATTAAAAAACAACTAATAAAAAATAACTATTCAAAAATTACTATTCAAAAATTACTATTCAAAAAGCAACTATTAAAAAACCATTTAAAACTACTGAAAAATCGTTATTAAAAGAAACAAAAAACTATTAAAAAACTGTTATTAAATTTGGATGAAAAAAAGTTTGTGAATGAAAAAGTTTTTGGATGAAAAAAAAATTTGGATGAAAACAAATTTGGATGAAAAAAATTTTAAGGCAAAAAAAAATTTACGAAAAAAAATTTGAATGAAAAAAATTATGAAAAAAAATTTGAATGAAAAAAAAATTGGATGGAAAAAAAATTGGATGAAAAAAAAATTGGATGAAAAAAAAATAGAAAAAATTTTGAGGTAAAAAAAAATTTACGAAAAAATTTGGATGAAAAAAATTATGAAAAAAAATTTAACTAAAAAAAATTGATGAAAAAAAAATTCAAAAAAAAAAATTATGAAAAAAAATTTGGATGAAAAAAAATTTGGATGAAAAAAAATTTTTTAAAAAAAAATTTTAATAAAAAAAAATTTTGATAAAAAAAAAGTTTGGATGAAAAAAAAATTGGATGGAAAAAATTTGAAAAAAAATTTACGAAAAAGTTTAAATGGAAAAAAATTAGATGAAAAAAAATTTAATGAAAAAAAATTTGGATAAAAAAAAATTTGGATGAAAAAAAATTTAATGAAAAAAAATTTGGATGAAAAAAAAATTGGATAAAAAAAATTTGAAAAAAAAATTTACGAAAAAAAAATTGAATGGAAAAAAAATTGGATGAAAAAAAATTTGATAAAAAAAATATGAAAAAAAATTTGGATGTATAAAAATTTGGATGAAAAAAAATTTTGTTGAAAAAAAATTTTTACGAAAAAAAAATTTGGATAAAAAAAAATTTTGATGAAAAAAAATTTTTACGAAAAAAAATTTGGATGGAAAAAAATTTGGATAAAAAAAATTTGAAAAAAAAAATTTACAAAAAAAAATTGGATGAAAAAAAAATTTACGAAAAAAATTTGGATGAAACAAATTTGGATGAAAAAAAAATTTAAAAAAAAAAATTTTGATGAAAAAAAATTTGGATGGAAAAAAATTTGGATGAAAAAAATTTGAAAAAAAAATTTACGAAAAAAAATTTGAATGGAAAAAAAATTGGATGGAAAAAAATTTGATGAAAAAAAATTGGATGAAAAAAAAATTGGATGAAAAAAATAATGGATGGAAAAAATTTTAAGGCAAAAAAAATTTTCAAAAAAAATTTGGAAGAAAAAAATTGAAAAAAAATTCGAAAAAAAAAATTTACGAAAAAAAATTTGAATGGAAAAAAAATTGGATGGAAAAAAATTTGAGAAAAAAAAATTGGATGAAAAAAATGGATGGAAAAAATTTTAAGGCAAAAAAAAAATTTCAAAAAAAATTTGGAAGAAAAAAAATTGATGAAAAAAAAATTCGAAAAAAAAAATTGGATGAAAAAGAAATTTGATAAAAAAAATTATGAAAAAAAATTTGGATGGATAAAAATTTAAATGAAAAAACATTTTTTGAAAAAAAAATTTTGATGAAAAAAAATTTTTACGAAAAAAAATTTGGATGAAAAAAAATTTGGATGAAAAAAAATTTAGATGAAAAAAATTTGAAAAAAAAATTTACGAAAAAAAATTTAAATGGGAAAAAAATTGGATGGAAAAAAATTTGGATGAAAAAAAATTTTTTGAAAAAAAATTTTGATCAAAAAAAAAATTGATAAAAGTTTGGATGAAAAAAAAATTGGATGGAAAAAATTTGAAAAAAAATTTACGAAAAAGTTTAAATGGAAAAAAATTGGATGAAAAAAAAATTAATGAAAAAAAATTTGGATAGAAAATTCATGAAAAAAAATTTTTTGAAAAAAAAATTTGATGAAAAAAAATTTTTACGAAAAAAAATTTGAATGGAAAAAAATTTGGATGAAAAAAAATTTGGATGAAAAAAAATTTGGATGAAAAAAATAATGGATGGAAAAAATTTTAAGGCAAAAAAAAATTTCAAAAAAAATTTGGAAGAAAAAAAATTGATGAAAAAAAATTCGAAAAAAAAATTTACGAAAAAAAATTTGAATGGAAAAAAAATTGGATGGAAAAAAATTTGATGAAAAAAAAATTGGATGAAAAAAAATTTAGATGAAAAAAATTTGAAAAAAAAAATTTACGAAAAAAAATTTAAATGGGAAAAAAATTGGATGGAAAAAAATTTGGATGAAAAAAAATTTTTTGAAAAAAAATTTTGATAAAAAAAAATTGATAAAAGTTTGGATGAAAAAAAAATTGGATGGAAAAAATTTGAAAAAAATTTACGAAAAAGTTTAAATGGAAAAAAATTGGATGAAAAAAAAATTAATGAAAAAAAATTTGGATAGAAAATTTCATAAAAAAAATTTTTTTGAAAAAAAAATTTGATGAAAAAAAATTTTTACGAAAAAAAATTTGAATGGAAAAAAATTTGGATGAAAAAAAATTTGGATGAAAAAAAATTTGGATGAAAAAAATTTGAAAAAAAAAATTTGGATGAAAAAAAATTTGGATTGACAAAAATTTGGATGAAAAAAAAATTTTACGAAAAAAAATTTGGATGGAAAAAAATTTGGATGAAAAAAAAAATTAAAAAAAAAAAATTAAAAAAAAAATTTGGTGAAAAAAAATTTTTACGAAAAAAAATTTGGATGAAAAAAAATTGGATGGAAAAAATTTGAAAAAAAAATTACGAAAAAAAAATTTGAATGGGAAAAAAATTGGATAGAAAAAAATTTGATGAAAAAAAAATTCGAAGAAAAAAAAATTGGATGAAAAAAAAATTGGATGAAAAAAAAAATGGATGGAAAAAATTTTAAGGCAAAAAAAAATTTACGAAAAAAATTTGGATAAAAAAAAAATTTTTTGAAAAAAAATTTGATAAAAAAAAATTTTTACGAAAAAAAATTTGGATGGAAAAAAATTTGGATGAAAAAAAATTTGAAAAAAAAAATTTGGATGGAAAAAAATTTGGATGAAAAAAAATGGATGGAAAAAATTTTAAGGCAAAAAAAAAATTTCAAAAAAAATTTGGAAGAAAAAAAATTGATGAAAAAAAAATTCGAAAAAAAAAATTGGATGAAAAAGAAATTTGATAAAAAAAATTATGAAAAAAAATTTGGATGGATAAAAATTTAAATGAAAAAACATTTTTTGAAAAAAAAATTTTGATGAAAAAAAATTTTTACGAAAAAAAATTTGGATGAAAAAAAATTTGGATGAAAAAAAATTTAGATGAAAAAAATTTGAAAAAAAAATTTACGAAAAAAAATTTAAATGGGAAAAAAATTGGATGGAAAAAAATTTGGATGAAAAAAAATTTTTTGAAAAAAAATTTTGATCAAAAAAAAAATTGATAAAAGTTTGGATGAAAAAAAAATTGGATGGAAAAAATTTGAAAAAAAATTTACGAAAAAGTTTAAATGGAAAAAAATTGGATGAAAAAAAAATTAATGAAAAAAAATTTGGATAGAAAATTCATGAAAAAAAATTTTTTGAAAAAAAAATTTGATGAAAAAAAATTTTTACGAAAAAAAATTTGAATGGAAAAAAATTTGGATGAAAAAAAATTTGGATGAAAAAAAAATTGGATGAAAAAAATAATGGATGGAAAAAATTTTAAGGCAAAAAAAAATTTCAAAAAAAATTTGGAAGAAAAAAAATTGATGAAAAAAAATTCGAAAAAAAAATTTACGAAAAAAAATTTGAATGGAAAAAAAATTGGATGGAAAAAAATTTGATGAAAAAAAAATTGGATGAAAAAAAATTTAGATGAAAAAAATTTGAAAAAAAAAATTTACGAAAAAAAATTTAAATGGGAAAAAAATTGGATGGAAAAAAATTTGGATGAAAAAAAATTTTTTGAAAAAAAATTTTGATAAAAAAAATTTTGATAAAAAAAAATTGATAAAAGTTTGGATGAAAAAAAAATTGGATGGAAAAAATTTGAAAAAAATTTACGAAAAAGTTTAAATGGAAAAAAATTGGATGAAAAAAAAATTAATGAAAAAAAATTTGGATAGAAAATTTCATAAAAAAAATTTTTTTGAAAAAAAAATTTGATGAAAAAAAATTTTTACGAAAAAAAATTTGAATGGAAAAAAATTTGGATGAAAAAAAATTTGGATGAAAAAAAATTTGGATGAAAAAAATTTGAAAAAAAAAATTTGGATGAAAAAAAATTTGGATTGACAAAAATTTGGATGAAAAAAAAATTTTACGAAAAAAAATTTGGATGGAAAAAAATTTGGATGAAAAAAAAAATTAAAAAAAAAAAATTAAAAAAAAAATTTGATGAAAAAAAATTTTTACGAAAAAAAATTTGGATGAAAAAAAATTGGATGGAAAAAATTTGAAAAAAAAATTACGAAAAAAAAATTTGAATGGGAAAAAAATTGGATAGAAAAAAATTTGATGAAAAAAAAATTCGAAGAAAAAAAAATTGGATGAAAAAAAAATTGGATGAAAAAAAAATGGATGGAAAAAATTTTAAGGCAAAAAAAAATTTACGAAAAAAATTTGGATAAAAAAAAAATTTTTTGAAAAAAAATTTGATAAAAAAAAATTTTTACGAAAAAAAATTTGGATGGAAAAAAATTTGGATGAAAAAAAATTTTTTGAAAAAAAAATTTTGATGAAAAAAAATTTTTACGAAAAAAAATTTGGATGAAAAAAAAATTGGATGGAAAAAATTTGAAAAAAAAATTACGAAAAAAAAAATTTGAATGGAAAAAAAAAGGTGGAAAAAAAATTTGGATGAAAAAAAATTTAGATGAAAAAAATTTGAAAAAAAAATTTACGAAAAAAAATTTAAATGGGAAAAAAATTGGATGGAAAAAAATTTGGATGAAAAAAAATTTTTTGAAAAAAAAATTTGATAAAAAAAAAATTGATAAAAGTTAGGATGAAAAAAAAATTGGAT